AGTAGTTGAAGAACTAAACTATGTATAAGAGAAGAAAATGAGAGTAGAAAAAAAAAAACAATATCAAGTATCAAAGGTCAATGGCAAAATAGTTGAAAGATTCTAGCTTCGTGGCGAGGAAAACAATTATTTTCTATGCTATTATTTAATCACTGATAATGTAATCTATGTTAAACTTGTCCATGCGTACGTGTACATTGCAACGCGCCCGCATGTGCTTAACGAAGCTTTACGAAGCCGCATAACAGCAACTATGCGAAACGCACGACCGCGACGACTGTATTTCTTATCTGACTATTAGAATTTCCATGTCGAGGTGTTTTTCGCTGGGGATTATTTTTCAATTGCCGCTACACTGCGTTAAGTGGACGTGTTACTGGTGTACACGCATGTGCGGACAGACTTGTACATATATATAGAATTGCAAATAAAATATTACAAAGCGATACGCGTTCTACCAGTGAAGTCAATCGCGATAAATCGTAAAGTAGCAAAGAGAAACAATTTCAAGAGAAACAAGTACTAAGGCTAATCACGTAGTAGGAAAAAAAGTAACAACGTCTCTATGCTGCTGAAGTCGGCGAAAATAAGGCAAACGTTTGTATATTTCGTCAATAGATTTCCACACGCATTACGATGGGACTAACGTAAACGCCTGCAAGTATATTGCTCTTATTTGTTTTTTTTTTTTTGTTGTGATGAGTTACAAATATGTCGTAATTAGCATTTCAATCAGCGTTGAAATACGTTCGTTCCTTATATTGCAGCGTTCGCTAAATCGATTTTGCGATCGATATTTTACAAAAACTTTACGTTATGTTACAGCATGATAGGAAATAGAAGCGAAAGAAACGTATCAAATGAAAATGTAAAATTAGAAAAAATCTACATAACACTTTCCTTGCGTGCCGCAAAATATGATAATGCTCGTACTTGTAAAAAAAAAAAAAAATTAACAATAGAGTTTCTGGAATTCTGTCTTTGTTTCTAGACGGCACTTATATGCTGATAAAATGTCAACTTTACTTTCGTAATAATCATTAATGAAGATATTAATATAATTTAGTGCCTTCGCTGCTATTTATTCTAAGAATAAATACTTTGGTGCAATTAGTATTGCCTGTTCAAGAAACTGATTTCTCCTCGTACCATCCTATGATTCATATCAAGTTTTCTTGGATGTATATAGGTATATTATACTATATTAAAGTTTTACGTAGGCTTTTCTATTAAATGATAAAAGTGCAAACAGAGAAAAAATCTTACTTTATTGTGGTACAATAAAAGCGCGCTATTTTCATTAATTAATGCAAAACTGTCTTCTGTTTGGTTCAATGTGCAATTAGAGAAAAAATATTTTTGAATTTTGAATATCAACAAACGTCCTAAAATCAGAATATATTTAAATTAGATATATATATACTGTAAAACAAATAACTGCAAATATTTTAAAATTGCTTTAAATTTTCACATACAACTTTACTTGTTTAATTAAACGCGAATTGCGTTTAACATAATTATATATTTCTACTTAGAGTCACGAAAGAAAAAATATTTTTGAAATACAAAGAAAAGACGTCCGCATATCTTTCTTAAAAAGTTTGATCGGAAATATGCAGAGCAAGTGTTTCATGCGAAATCATTAATTTAACAACATCCCCGTGCAAATATTTTTCCGTTGTTATCAAAAAAATTCGTCATATGAGGAAAACGAGACAATTACGTCGGAGCTCGCAATCAATATGATACTTGTCACAACACAAACTGCGATTATTATCACAAATTTAGTAACGATATTGCGTTGCGGAACATCATAAATGAGACAGATGACAAATACGATAATATCGGTAATGGAGTTTTTTTTCTAAGCTTGACCGCAAATACACAATTACCCTATTACGTTACATTGGCTCAAATACAATTACTGTATTACTATATTGTTGCAAGACATAATTCTATTTCAATTCTGGGATTTTCTTAAATAAATAAACAGATATCCTTTTTATAGAAAACACTACGTATACGCTATATATTATATTATATTAAGAAGGATTCTCTTATAAAACTGTTCCAATCCGAATTCAATTGTACAACTGTTTACAAATTAACAAAATTTTCTTGATAAACTGATAGTAAATAAAATCACAGCTCTTTTCTATACATTACGAAAGATTTCATTAATGCATTCGAGTTTGTCTTCTTTCGGACTCGGAATTCTACAACATCGCCTGCTGAGGACCATGCATTCGCGCATGTCTACAAAATTAATAAATTTTATAAACTATAAGGCATATAGAAGAACATAAGATCAATTATATAAAAGAGTAGAATAACATTAAATCTTGTCTAACTTATCTATTTTCATTCCTCGCAAATATTTCTACTCTTATCAAAATCTATTTCATACTAAATCAGTTCCTTACATAATAACAAATAATAAACCAATTAATTTGACACAAATTATAATGTACGATCGACGAATTCATGGTCTTTAGATTTAGCGAAATTTATTGCCGAGCAGTTTTATAATCCTATCAGAAAGGAGCCAAAAGCCGCTTCAGATAAGAATGCGACTGCGATAGGATTCAATGATCGGTTAAGTGTTCGCGTATTCGCGACCTAAAATGAGAGATTGCTATGCGTACGATTTAAAGCATGGGAAACGAGAGTGCCGAATTGTGTATTAGTGAGTTATGCGATATTCAAACAAGGACAACGACAATGACGGTAACCGTGACAACAACGACGACGATGACGACGATGACGACGACAACGACGACTACGAAAATGTCAACTAATATATTATAAATTACCGCTCAGAAAAAGAGAAACGAATGAGATATTCGTTGTACCTATGTACATTGAATTATACATGTGGTATATATCCGCGTGTACAGTCGAAGTCCCAATGTAATATGTAAATAAGCCAGCGGACAATACATGAAAGCGAGAAAGAGAGAAAGAGAGCGAGAGCGAGAGTGCGGTGACGAGAAAAAAAAATAGAAAAGAAAAATAACAAAAAAAAAAAGAAATGAGTGATGTCGCGCGTTGCAATAAGCGTAGACGCCGGCGAGTTCGCAAGGGAGAAAACTTTCGATTCCGTGCACGCAAGCAAGATTAATTAAGCCGCTGTTAACGAGTGTCATGACGAATGAACATAGACCGGTAGTGTAACAATACCAACTTCTCATCTCGGGCGAGACATTTCTCCATGTGCGAACGAGCCGGACCTGTTGACGATGAGAATAAAAAAAAAAAAAAGAAACAAACCAGCTAATAATAAAAAATATAGCTTTATTATGGTCACTTGAGGAAAAAAAATTGAACCATATACAAATAAAAATTAAACGGCCGGTCACTAATCGTCAATCAGCAGACTTTGGAGCTCGCGTTTCATTAACGCAAATATTTACAACAATGTCGCATGTTTGATAAAATTGTGATGATTGTTCGATGAAATTGGTATCAACTGCTCCGCTAAAATATCGTATCTCGAGAATAACAAAAAAAAAAAAAAAAAAGAAGGAATAGACTTGAATCCTCACCGATGGGCGCACGCTTCGATAATTTCATTACGGACTCAGCCTACGAAGTGTGAAGCGCGATATTTTAACAGAACTCTCACGTCTCGTCGCTGCTGTGCCCCTTTACATTCAGTCTTAATCAACAGCGAAGGCGTTTATCGATTTTACAATGCAGGTATCTTACATAGGCGTATATATACTATTGCGACGCGTAAATCAGTCGAGATATAGGGCGCGGCCGAGACATGGCGGGCATACACGACAAAGTGATACCTGTAATGAAACGACTGTATACATATGTATCGAAAAGAGAATTATATCATATGTAATCGTTGATGACGTTAAATGCACACTGGTCGTAGCAATGATATTTTTTATCGAAGATGCTCAGCGAAGTCTACTGACCCACATTGACTCACTCACTGACTCGCTCACTCACTCTATCACTCCGATCACTCACTATCCACTCTCACTATAGTATATATGTTACGAATATGTGCTTTATATAGTTTAACAAAATAAATTATTTCAAAAATTTACAGCGTCTAACGCCTCCTACTTTCATTCGTCAGTATGAATATTACTTTCTTCACTTATATGTGAATATGATATATTTATATGTGAAGAAATATGTGTAATAATAATAAATGATACGAACTATTTGAATTCGAATCAAATCAAATCGAATCAAATGAAATTCGAACTATTCGAAAATTTCGAATTAAAGAGATACGAATACAAATGTCATATATTAATAATCCTATAATAATTATGTAATTAATTCATAGTTATGTTTTAATAATTCCAGTAAAATTTTATAAAATTCAAATTTAAAAAATATATAAGTAATTCAATTTGATATAAAAAACTTTGATTCGCATGTCTCCAGATAATACATTTAATACATGCTCTCTCTCTCTCTCTCTCTCTTATATATATATATATATATATATATAT